TTTTTTTGCCGGTACTGGGGATTGAACCCAGGTGTATTCTACCACTGAGCCACATCCCTAGCCTTTTTTATTTATTTCTTTATTTTTCAGACAGGGTTTTGCTAAATTGCTGAGGCTGGCCTCGAACTTGGATCTTCCTGCCTTGACCTCCCCTGTCGCTAGGATTACCCGTGAGCGCCAAAGCAACCAGCTCAGACACGTCTTGATACATTATTGTTTAAAAATGCATTTCCATTTCCATTGCTTGATGAAAGATCTCTTTTCCTTCAAACCTTTTGGGCTTTAAAAATGATACTCCGAATGGGAGAAGAGCCTGCCAGAGGCCAGGTGCGGGGGGACGCAGGGCGCAGCTGGGGCAGGAACGGTGGTAGGAGCTGGGAGCCCTGCTGGCTGTTTACCGACGGAGCCAGAGGCTGAAGTTCAGCCTGCGCTGGGGGCAGAGACGCTGGTCCCGAGGCCCTCCCCCGCCTTTGATCCGCAGGGTGCCCTGTCCTTTGAGCCCGGCGGCTCCCTCCGGGCTGGCACTCTCGCCTTGCGGGCTCGTGGGACCCTTCGGGTGCACTCTGGTCCCGTGGCCTCGCGGGCTCGGAAGCGGGCGGGCGACATGCTGCGTCTGCTGGCGTCCCGCTGCACCCGGGGCCTGGGGTCCAGCGTGCCTGCGCGTCCTGCCACCGGGCTCTGCCTCCYGGGGCGCAGCCCGAGCCGCCGGGCCTCCGACGTGCCCCGGAACCACCCGCCCAGCTCCGAGTTGGTGGCCCGGTCGGTGGGCATCTGCTCCATGATGCGCCTGCCCATGCAGACCTCCCCGGAGGGGCTGGACGCTGCCTTCATTGGGGTGCCCCTGGACATTGGGACCTCCAACCGGCCCGGTGCGAGGTAAGGTCCCGGCGTCGGGGTTGGGACGTGTGGCTGGGACTGATTATGGAGCGYGGAAGGCGCGCGGACAGACACCTCCGCTCACCCTGGGTAGGTTAGAAGCCGGTGGCCCGCTCCAAAATGGTTTGAGAGACCTTTGATTCCCCTCCTTCCTCCACAAGCCGTCCAGGGCTCAACACGTGACTGGAGGACTGGTCCTCATCCATTGGTCAGGAAGGATTTCTGGAGCCCCCTCCTGGGACCTTGCTGGGATGGAGGATGTGGGTACCTTCTCTGCTCTCTCCACCTGGCCTTACAGTGGAAGGTGACATTTTGTTTGAGAACAGAAACTGGCTGCCCCTTCCCCAAATCTCTAAGTATAACTGACTGGGGGTGTGGGGGGGGAAGCAAAGAAGCTCAAATTAAGGAAAATTTCTCAGGATCAAATAGAGAAAGTAAAACCCCTTTTCCTAATTATTGAGCATCAGCAATTTCTAATTCGGCTCTTCGAATGTGATTGTAACTGTCTGAATAGTCAAAGTCTTATTTTATTTATTTATGTAGGTACTGGGGATTGAACCCAGGGGCACTTTACCACTGAGTTACATCCCCAGCCCTTAATTGTTTGTTTTTTGAGACAGTCTTGCTAAATTGCCAAGACTGGTTTTGAACTTGTGATCCTTCTGCCTCATTTTCCTGGGTCACTGGGATTACAGGTGTGGCCCATAGGCCCAGTTCCAAAGCCACCATTTATTATTTAAATGTAAGGCACTTTGCATAGATTACCTAATTTCTTAGAACAAGGATGTGAAGCAAATACCATTATTATCATATGGATTTGGAAACTGAGTCTTGGGGAGATTAAAATATTATCTAATGTCATTTAATAAGTGGTGATGAGTGGGCCTCTAACTCTGTGTTTTTATTTATTTGCAGAACTGGGAATTGGACCCAGAGTTGCTCTACCACTGAGCTATATCCCCAGCCCACCCCCCCCATTTTTTTGAGGCAGGGTCTTSTTTGATTGCCTAGGCTGATCTAGAATTTGTAATCCTCCTATCTCATCCTCAYCAAATTGATGAGCTTATAGGTTGCACCGCCATGTCCAGCAAATTTGTTCCTTTAATTTCTTTAATATACAACCTAGGGCTGGGAGGTAGACAGCTTACTTAGCATGCACAAGACCCTGTGTTTGGCTCCCAGCACCRCAAAAAGAAGAAGAAGAAAAAAAAATATATATATATATAAATGATCAGTGGTTCTCAGTAGGGGTGGGTTTGCACCCAGGGGACATCTGGCAATGCCTAGAAGTATTTTGCTTGTCACAACTTGGGGGAGAAAGTGCTACTGACATCTAGTGGGTACAGGCCAGAGAAGCTGTTAAACATCCTGCAAGGCAAAAACCCGCAGAAGAGAGCTGGCAAAGCCTGGCCTAGCAGAGAGAGCTTTTGCACCTGGGCATGGGGCTGACAGGTGATTCTTTTCCTCCAGATTCGGGCCCCGACGCATCCGGGAAGAATCTGTGATGCTCCAGACAGTCAATCCTAGCACCGGGGCCTTGCCCTTCCAGTCCCTCATGGTAGCTGACCTGGGCGATGTGAATGTCAATCTTTACAACCTTCAGGACAGCTGCCGGCTAATTCAAGAAGCCTATCAGAAAATAGTAGCAGCTGGTTGTGTTCCTCTGACCTTGGGTAATGTCTGCTAGGGTGAGGGGAGTTCTCTGGGCTCATTTGTCATTCGCTTGAGTACTGATACTTCTGCAGAAGATGGTAACAGTAGGAAAGAGAACATTCTAATTCCTTTATTTTAGTCCCTGGGGACAGGATACGTAAAATATTGGAGTAGTGTGGCCGGTAGGGCTGGTGGACTAGGGGAAGGCGGATGAGGCCTTTGCTTTGGTGTATAATTTAAAGGATGCCAAAAAAAAAAAAAAAATCAGCAATCAAAATCAATATGGCAGGATWAATATTACCAATTTTTCTTTTTTTGTCTTTGGCTCCAGCATGGCTGGAACAGCATGGTTACTGGTCTTGTCTTTATTTTTATTTTTTGGTCATCACAGATTTTTTTTTAAAAATCTTTTGTAAGGTTAGGGGTAGAACCAAGGGCCTTGTCAATGCTTGGCTAGCAAGAGTTCTACCACTGAGCTATCTCTGCAGCCCTGCATTGATTTTGATCTTCAACAATACTGTGTTAAGCCTGGCATAATGGTGCACATTTATAATCCCAGCAACTTGGGAGGCTGAGGCAGGAGGATTACAAGTTGGAAGCCGGCTTCAGTAACTTAGTGAGACCCTGTCTCAAAATTAAAAGTAAAAAAGACTGGAGGTATAGCTCAGTGGTGGAGCACTCCTGGTTTCAATTCTCAGTACAAAAATAAACAAGCAAACAAACAAACAAAAATCTGTGTTAAAATAGGATCTRTCTTTTACTAAGTGCTATGGCTTCCTTTAAATGTTATACCCCAGTATGTGTCTCACCAACCCAGGCCTGGGGAAGGCTGCCAGTAGGGACTCCCTGTGACTTTCCAAGGATTTCAAAGACAACGTTCATCATGACTGTGCGGAGAACTGCAAAGGGTGCCTGTCCTGGTCAGGATCCTCATCAACCCGTAGGGTAACTTTCCCTTCACCCTCCTCCACTCTCACTTTCTTATTTTTTTCTTCTCTGATTTGTAAATAGTTAAAATGACACAGAACTTTTTCTAAATATTCCAATTTATTTTTGCCAAATGAGAGGTCCTAGTCTGCACAGCATGGTAGTCTGCACACCTTGGCTTCTAGGTGGAAGGTTTGAAATCTCAGCTGTACCTTTCACTAGCTGTGTTACCGTATCCACTGCTTGGTGCCTCATTTCCTCGTTGTGAAATGGGCATAGTAATAATGCCTACCCATTGTATTGTGGAAGAAGTATATAATGAATGGGCATACAAGATGCCCACCCTAGCTGGGCATGATGGTACACACCTGTAGTCCCAGCGACTCAAGAGGCTAAGGATGATTGCACCTTGAAGACAGCCTCAGCAATGTAGTGAGGCCCTAAGTGACTTAGTGAAATTCTGTCTCAAAATGAAAGGGGCGGGCTGGGGATGTGGCTCAAGCGGTAGCATGCATGCGGCCCGGGTTCGATCCTCAGCACCACATACAAACAAAGATGTTGTGGCCGCTGAAAACTAAAAAATAAATATTAAAAAAAAAATTCAAAATGAAAGGGGCTAGGGGATGTGGCTCAGTAGTAGAGCACTTGCCTGGCATGTGAGAGGGTGTAGGCTTGATTTCTGCTACCACAAATGAACACATAAACTGCCCATCATTGTGCCTGGCCTATTTTAGGCTTAAATAAATATTAACTATTGATTATTATTTTTTTAATAATTTTTTTTAATATTTGTTTTTTAGTATTTGGCTGACACAACATCTTTGTTTGTATGTGGTGCTGAGGATCGAAGCCAGGCTGCACGAATGCCAGGCGCGAGCGCGGTACCGCTTGAGCCATATCCCCAGCCCCAACTATTGATTTTTTTTTTTTTTAAATATTTATTTATTTATTTTTTAGTTATTGGCAGACATAACATCTTTGTATGTGGTGCTGAGGATCGAACCCGGGCCGCACGCATGCCAGGCGAGCGCGCTACCGCTTGAGCCACATCCCCAGCCCCCCAACTATTGATTATTAATAATTATCAATAGTAATACTTTCCTAGGCCTGCACTGCTTAAAAGGGTAGCCATTAGCTACATATTAAGTTTAAATTAATTAAAATATGCAGTTCCTCAGCCACCATATTGGATAGTGCAGACAGAACATTTCCATCATCACAGAAAGTTCTCTTGGACAGAGTTGTTCTAGGGAATTACTTGTAAGCAATTCAATTCATAGATTCATCTAATTTTCTCTTTTCAGTGACAGTGACATCTTAAGCATCCCTCTACTGACCAAGATCTCTCTTTGGCTGTGTTTTTAGACCTCTAGTCCAGCTGAAAGGGAGGCAGAATTGGCAAACTCGGGGTTGTTGCACATGATCATCTTACTCATGTTCCAGATGTTTCTCTACTTTATGCTTTGCAGGTGGAGATCACACAATCACGTATCCCATATTGCAAGCACTGGCAAAAAAGTAAGTCCCAAATGGCTTGGCCAAGTGAGGTTTCAAGATTCAGGAGCTTGGGGCTGGTGATGTGGCTCAAGCGGTAGCGCGCTCGCCTGGCATGCGTGCGGCCCAGGTTCGATCCTCAGCACCACATACAAACAAGGATGTTGTGTCCGCCAAAAAACTGAAAAATAAATATTAAAAAAAAAAAAAAAGATTCAGGAGCTAAGGAGCAGCGGTTTGCTGCCAGGTGGCATTGGGTGACTGCTGTGGACTCAGGTTATTGGGAATGACAGGAAATTCCCAACCAACTTGCTTCTGAGATCAAAGTTAAGGCTGAGGGGCTGGGACTGTAGCTCAGTGGTGGAGCCCTCACCTAGCTCGTGTGAGGCACTGGCTTTGATCCTCAGCACCACATAAAAATAAGTAAATCAAATAAAGGTATCTACAACTAAAAAAAWTTAAAAAAAATTAAGGCTGAGCTCCAGGTGTGTCTGTCAGTCTCTGGCCCTTCCCTTGGCCCAGACCTGCTCTGGTGCGTGCCCGGCCCTCTCCACTGGCCTGTTGGGGAAGGCAAGCCCCTTGTGAAATACACAACCCCAGTTCACTTTGGTTTCTGTTTTGCTTCAGGGGCTGAATCCAAATTGTGACGGGCACAGCAGTGAAGGGCCCCTGTTTTCTCGTGCCAGGGCCCCTTCCACAGGCAGTGTCTTTTCAGGGATGAAGTCAACCAGGGACTGACCAGCTTTGGCTAATGGAGTTGGAGGAGGAGACAGAGGGCTGAGGCAGTGGGTGGCAGCTCCAGAWTTAGTTTTTGGGAAGGGCGTATGGGCAGCTTTGCGGCTGGAGGTACATGGAGACAGATCCTGTCTCCAAGCCGCGCCTGCCTCCCACTGGCAGGCACCACATGTCCCCGTGGGGAGCCCTCAGGGTTGCTGATGGTTCTGGAGAAGAGCCGGCTCACAGCTCCCTGTTGGTGCCGCAGTCGGAATCGCCGTGGCTGCTTGGTCTGGCCTTCAGCTGAGCTCTCCCCCGTCCTCCCGGCCTCTTTTATTTATCCATTTATTCGTTTAATTTTGGTTCTGGAGGTTGAATCCAGGGTGCTTTACTACTGAGCCACACCCCCAGCCCTTTTACTTTTTCATTTTGAGTCAGGGCCTCCCTAACTTTCTTAGGGTCTTGCTAAGTGGCCAAGGTTGGCCTTGAACTTGCAGTCCTCCCGCCCAGCCTCTGGAGTTGCTGGAATTACAACTGCCACCCTGTCCAGCCCTCTGAAGGTGCAGCAGTCCTGGATGGGAGACCCTGGGTGGTAGCCTAATTACATGTCTCTTTCTGCCTGGCTGCTCTCTGTTTACCGCTGCTCTGAGATGCTAAGTGATTTGAAGACACAAACCAGCTGGCACGTGGGTAGTTGAGGCCAAGTCTCTCCTCTGTGACTCTGAACTGTCATCAAGTTTTGGCGACCTGAAGGGTGGCTATGCTTGGGCCCCACAGGGATGTTTGGCCTCTAAGCTGTCCTGTTGTCCTGTTGTCCTCAGGTATGGCCCTGTGGGGCTGCTGCATGTGGACGCCCACCTGGACACAGCCGACAAGGCCCTGGGGGAGAAGCTCTACCATGGGACACCCTTCCGGCGGTGCGTGGAGGAGGGGCTCCTGGACTGTCAGCGGGTAGTGCAGATTGGCATCCGGGGCTCTTCCATGACCCTGGATCCCTACAGATACAACAGGAACCAGGTGACAGACTGAATGCCCCCCAACTCCTCTCCGTTGCCTATCACATGGCCAGAGCTTTGCTAATCAAGTTCAAGGTGGGGTCAAAGGGCTGATTTTGCTTCAAGAGGGTCATGTGGCAAAGAGGAGTGAGGGTGCTAGTAAGGCAGAGGAGGCCTGTTTGGGGGCTGGGGAGGCCAAAAGAAACAACCAACCTCTCAGAAAAGAGGTGGGGGTCCCTTGGGACCCCCACCTTCTGATTTCTCATCCTTACCACTTGGTAGAGTGGCTCTGGGGTCAACACAGGATAAAGATCCAAGTGGGAAGACACCTCCCTTGCTGTTGGGGCTTGCCAAGGCAGTATTTTGGACAGAACCATCCAGAAGGGGCTCTTGTGAGCAGCCCAGGTTCTGTCTCTTGCCTTAGCAAAGCTTCCCTCTGCTCCCTGTTCAGTGCTTAGCTTTGGCCCTGCTCCCTCCCCTTACCTGTGAACCGGGGACAGCAGTTCCTCCCCGTGGAGGCTGAGGGTCCGATGTGATGTGCCCATGAAGAACTGAGCTGGCCTTGACCTCCTGCTCTTCCATTGCCCCCTCCTCAGGGCTTCCGTGTGGTCCTGGCTGAAGACTGCTGGATGAAGTCGCTGGTCCCTCTGATGGCGGAGGTCAGGCAACAGATGGGAGGCAAACCCCTTTACATYAGCTTTGATATTGACGCCTTGGATCCTGCCTATGCCCCGGGGACAGGGACGCCTGAAATTGCTGGTCTCACCCCTAGTCAGGTAAGGAGCCTTCCCCAGGAAGAGTCCTGGGCCAGGGAAAACTTGACACCCCACTCTCCTAGGACTTGTAGTCTTTAGTATCAGGAGAGGATTTCATGGAACTGGACTTGAATCCAGGGGTGCTCTACCACAGAGCTACATCCCAGTCCTTTTTATTTTTTGAGACCAAGTTGACCAGGCTGGCCTTGAAATTGCCAGCCTCCTGTCTCAGCCTCCCCAGTAGCAGGGATTACAGACGTGCAGCACTGTACCTTGGCTGTGGTGCCCTTAGAATTCAGAAATTGGAAGGATTTCTGAAACAAAATCCTCACCCTCTGCAGATCCTCCTTCTGGGCTTCCTGCCTGCAGGATGGAAACCCTTTCCACGCCATCTTCCTACCTGCCCTCCCTTGTCCTGTCTTYAGGCCACACCTCACTACCTGGGCTCCTCCCATCACTGTGTCTACCCCTTCTTTCCCTGGGCCTGGGATGTCCTCCTTTTCTGCATGAGCTTAGCCAAGGCCTTGAAATGTTTCCACATTTCGGAAGCCTTCCTCCTCCTCCTCCTCCTCTCCAGGCTGTTACTTGTGCTTTTTCTATTCTGGACTTGCTTTCCTTAAAACCCTTCATTGAACAGATTGGCCTGTCTCATCATCAGTGAAGCTCAGGAGCAGGGATCGGGCACTAGTTATTCGTGTCTCTGGGAGGCCACCCGTGTGGCTGCAGTTGATAAAAGCAGGAATTCTAAGGATGGGCATGTGCCCGGAGCAACCTACGGAATCTTCTCCACTGGTCATTTTTCTAAGTTAATGATTACAGTAATGACAACTTACTAGTATGGTTTTAATCTTGGACAGGCTCTGGAGATCATCCGGGGCTGTCAGGGCCTAAACGTGGTGGGCTGTGATCTTGTGGAGGTTTCCCCGCTGTACGATCTCTCTGGTGAGTAAGCAGGAAAACTGACCTGTGGGCAGCTGCTGGCTCACGTTTTCTTTGGCATGGAGGATTGAACCCAGGGTGTTCTACCAAAGAGCTGCATTCCCTCAACACCCCACTCCCGGCCCTATTTTTTTTTTTTTTTTTTTTGAGAAAAAGAAAAAGAAGATTTACTGCTTTGCTAGCAAAGGAGAAACACAGGAGACTTCTGTCCCCGAGGCTGATTCTGCCCATCAGTAGGAAATGGGGAGGGGGTGGGTGGGAGGATTTAAGGTGACTCTAAGGCTACAGTCCACTGGTCTGTTGAGTTGTAATCCACTTGTTGATTTGGGAGATAGTCATTTCTGAGATCTTCTGGTACCAGCCCCAAAGCCTAGATTACTTCTTTCCTATGGTGGGTGTGTACTCAGGGACAGAAAATTGTGCCTAAAATGGGGAAGAAAGGCAATCCCTTTTCCCCTGGATTAGGGAGGAGCATCGAGGGGAAGAGAACCACATCCATTTAAAAAATCAAGTTGCAGTGGCAGAGCAGCAAGGGCTGTATTCAGAGCATAAGGTGGCCCACTGTGGCATGTCCCCATTGCCAGTTTCTACATTGCATTTCTATGGAAAAATGGGCGACTACGTCTCTAAGCTGCTTCTTGCTGAAAGAGGGTGAAGTTGGGGGAAGTACCCCAAAGCCCTTGTTCTCTATCAGTGGGGCACCTCCTGCCTTTTTTGGAGTCAGGGTCTCATTAAATCGCCCAGGCTGGCCTTGGACCTGTGAACCTTGTGCCTCAGCCTCTTGGGTAGCTGAGGTTAGAGGTGTGCACCACCACCTCCAGCCTGGGGAACCTGCTGAGTATGTCTGACAGGGGAGAAAATAAGCCTCTATAAATGAGTAGCAACCCCGATAAAACCCTGGAGGTGCCAGGTATTAATAGCTTGCCCACATCAGGAGGAGATGGGTGCCATGATTTGTCCTCCTCTTATACTTTTTTTTTTTTTTTTTTTT